CGGGTGCTTGCGCCCAGGGCAGGTGTTGGTCTGGGTGGGTGCCCGTCTGGATGCCAGCCCCGGCGACCGGGAGGGGTGCTGCGGCGCCTGCGTGGCTCCGCCGCCGGCGCGCAGCTTGGTCCTCGCTCGGGGTGGGGCGCGGCCCCGGAGTGCACCTGCTGGGACCAGGACATCGCCAGCCCGTGGCCCCCCTGGCCTGTGGCTGTCGCCTCCTCCCCTCTTCTTCCCCCAACCCCGGCTGCTTGTCTCACTGTCGCCCGCGGACCGCCGCTGCGTTGCGAAACGCCGGCTTCGCAAAGAAAAGAAAGAGGAAATCGCTCCCTGCGACAGGCTGCCAGGGGACACTGCGCGGAGGGGCCCATGGGCTTTTGTGAGTGGGTGTGGGGTCGATCCGGCTCCCCGCCACCTGGAGGTGACTGACGTCATGGGCCCCCCTCTGGAACCGCTCCCTTGTACCCTGCAGACAGCGGGGAGGGAGCCGGCGCCTCCACGGGACCGGCGGAGGGCACCCCTCCCCCAGCGCAGCTCCTCGCTGCTCCGAGCAGCACCAGGCCAGCCTGCACCGCGCCCTCCCAGCAGGCTTCTCCCGGACTCCGCTCCTGAGGGCCCTGGGAGGTTTCCAGGGGGCCAGCGTCCTGGGGTGCTCCCCCTCCCTTTCTGGGGCTACTTGTCCTGGGATTGGCAGGCAAAGGGATGGGGCAGGACTCTGCTTCTGGGCTGGCAGGGTGGGGCGGGCACAGCCTCTAGAGGCTCACCTGCTCATATCCCCAGCATGGAGGGTGGCCCCGCTGAGGGGCTGTCACCCAGGTACGCCAGGGACTCTCACTGGGGGCTCCCAGCTTGAACCTCCCAGAACAAAGCCAACATACACGGAGTGGTCAAAGTCCCCAAAAGGAAAGTAGGAAGACCTTGCATTTATCCTGGGACAGTCCCCAGACGGGTCCCATCTCGCCCATCCACTGGGCTCGGAGGGGTCTCTGGCAGTCCCAGGTGCTACGAAGCTGTTGGTCAGCTGCAGTGTGGCCACATGGGGCCACACCGGGAGCTCAGGTGTCCCACAGGGGAGGAGGCAGTGATGGGCTTTTCCAGAAGCCGAGTGGGCTGAGGTGGCCTCTGGCTGGGCCTCCTGAGTGGGGTGGGGTGGGAGTGGCATCTCCGTCGCCCCGGGACACTGCTCCTGGCGGCAGGGCCGGCTCACCACAGACTGCCCGCGGCACCCTCTCCCAGACCTGTTTCCACTCGTTCAGGAAAGCTGGAGAGGCGGCGAGGAAGGGCAGCCCGCAGGCTCCTCTCAGGCTTGGCTTGGGGTGGGGGCGGGGGAGGGGGCTGGCCCTGTCCCTCTCCTTCCTGGCCACTGCGCAGGAGAGCCTCTCTCCAGCCATCTTGGTCCCTCCAGCCTGGCAGGAGGGAGGGGTCTTCCTTGGTGTGGTGGGCCCTGCAACTGCTGCCATGCCCAGCCCAACCCCCCGCTCCAGGGGCCGTCGCCCGTGGCAAGCTCTGGCAGAGCCCAGCTCTCCCTGGCGTTGGGCCGAGCCTCTGGTTTTCAGTTGTCCTGTGACACCCGCATCTTGCTATCCTGCTCCACAGGCAGCCTGTGGAGCAGGCAGCGTAGGCCCGTCACCTGCATTTTACAGCCAGGACACTGAGGCTGCTGTGGGGGACGTGGCGTCGCAGACGCAGACCAGGGCCCCTCGGGCCCGCTGCAGCCCTGCCTGCTCCACTGCGCCTCTCCCCGGCCTTCGCCCCCATGCCCGGAGTGTCGGCCAGAGGCCCGCGGCCCTGCCTGCCCGCATGGGCCCAGTGGAGCGTCCACCCACGGGCTCTGCTTCTCAGCGGACACCCTGCTGGTCTGTCCTTGTTCCGTGCCACTGGGGCCTCCAGTCCCTGCTGTGGCCCACACGGGCGGCCAGGGGCCACACTGGCATTGGCGGGGGCAGGGGAGGGCTGTGCGATGCCGTCGTCAGAACACCGACTGCCGCCAGCAGGAGCCGGCCATCGCTAGGTGTCCCGCCAGCAGGACTTGGGCAGTCCTGGCCAGCTGGCCTGCGAGGGCTGCAGGAGGGGGCAGTCCGAGGACCCCTGCAGCCCCAGGACCTGCTCTGGACCCCCATCGTTGGCCGCAGTGGCGGGCTCCCCTATGCTTTATGTCATGGCCTCTCAGAGAGGTGTTTCTCATCACGGGCCGGGGTGGGGTGGGTGGGGAGGGAGGAAGCAGCGCCTCCAGACTTCCTCCGAGTCGCCTACCTAGGTGGGACAAGTGACGGAGTCTCCCCTTGAGCCTCAGTGTCGATGTCCCAGAAGGACGTGGAGACCTCAGCTCTTTAGCTGGCTTGGGCCGTGGGTGGTAATCATGGTGCTCGGCGCACTTCGTCTGGGCCCCTGAACGACCTGGGCAGGTGGCCGAGGGCACCTGGCCTGCCCTCCTGTTGGGGAGGCTGGGGCTCAGCGAGATGCCCGGGCCTGGCCAGGTGGGCGTTTGGGCCTCTGCGTGGAGATCCTGCTGCTCTGGCCTGTGTGCTGGAGCCGGGCCCCAGGGATGCCTGGCTGAGAGTGGCCCCAGGGCCTGTCCTCACTGCACTGGGCTGGAGCGGGAACCCCTCATTCAACCCCGGCAGGCTTGAAGGCAGAGGTGACTTTTCAGACGTTGCTGTACGCCAGGGTAGGAGCTCCTTGGTGGGGAGGAATTTCAGGGATTTGGTCAAGTTTTGGGGGGATCACCTGAGAGGGTGGGTGGCAGGGGGCTGCCGAGGAGCGGGCTGGACACACATGTCCCAGCAACCCCTCACCCAGGCGTGTGCTTGGGTTTAAACATTTTTCTTTATTTTAGTAAAACATACCGCAGGGCCTTGAATAGCGCTGTTTCCGTCTCACGCTGATGATAAAATCCGATGCCTGTCGGCGTGGAGTGTGCGCCCGTGACCTGTCTGCGTGGGTTTTCGCCGGACACGCTTCCCTCCCGCGTCCCGCAGCTGTGCACGCGTGTGTGTGGGTGCGCGCGGGGAGCCCGAGGCGCGAGGCCCCCGCCTGCTGCCTTGAGCTCCCGGGCGGGGGGCGCCACCTTCGCGCCAGAACTGGAAGCCGCGGGCTGCAAAACCCCTGCCTCTCTCCTGTTTCCACGCGTCTTTCTCACGTGTGTCCGGAGCTCACGTTCATTTCGGCGTTGACTGTAGGTGTTTGGGTCCCCGAGCAGAGGTGGGGCCGGGAGGGTGCTGCGGGAGCGGGGCTCCGGGGGCACGGGTTTCCGTGCGGGCGCAGTGGGTCACAGAGTCCCCCCGCGCAGCGGTTCGCGCGTGCAGCTCCGGGCCCTAAGCGCACGCGCCCTGGTGTGCGGCCGCCACCGCCGTCCTCCCCACCTGCC